CCTGCGCTGGGGTGATGCTGGGCCTCCACCACAGCCGCCCCATGCTGCCGGCACAGCCCCAGAGCCCTACCGATGCGATCGAGGCGGTCGATGGCCACGGTCTCGAAGGCCCGTCTCATCATGGGGTACTCCTCCAGCACCTCGTTGAAGTTGTCCACCGAGAGCGAGTAGAGGCGGCAGTAGGTGTCTGCGCGGACGCTGGCTGTGCGCCGCCCGCGCGTCAGCAGGCAGATCTCTGCAGGGACACGGCCGTGACAGCGTTGGACCCGCGCCGGCCAGGATGGGAAAGGGCCAAGAGCCACAGCACAGTGCCCTGGGACCAGGCGGGTCCTGGTGCCTCGCGCAGCCCCCACCAGTGCTCACCTCCAAAGTAAGAGCCGTCGGAGAGCTTCATCTCCTTGTTGCCCTTTGTGAGGATGCTGACCACGCCGTGCTGGATGAAGTACATCTTCTTGCCGATGGTGCCCTCGCGGATGATGTAGTCGCCCGGCTGGAACACCTCAAACTTCAGCTTGGTGAGCATCGCCGTCACGAAGTTGGGGTCCGCGTTGGCGAACAGCGGCATCGAGGCCACCAGCTTGCGGCAGTTGAAGTTCACAATTTCCTGCGGTGGAAGGCGGTGAGGGACCGGGAGGCCGGGACGTGGCTTCCCCAGGGCAGGCAGCAAATGCAGAGGTGTCGGCACATGCAGTTCCCCACCGGCACACGGACTGTGCACGGACACAAGCGCAGCTGCAACACACGAGGCGCTTGCCCCAGGACACAGGGGTCCCATCCCCACGGCTGGCTCAGCCCCCCGGGAACCTCTTCCCCCCGGGGCTCACCTCACGCAGGGGCTCATTGAGCTCCCCCAGGATGCTGTCCTCATCGAACATCTTGCCCTGGTAGCGGTGCTCGTAGTAGTCGTGGATCTTCTGGCGGAAGTCAGCGGGCAGCTTGTGGAAGGACATGTACTGCTCCACTTGCTTGTACTGTGGGGGGAGGCAGCGTCAGGCCGGCTGGGACCCCCACCTGCCGCCCTGCTCTGTGGTGGCCCCTCTGGGCTGGGAGGGAGGGTCCTGCTCCCTCGCCCCATCCCTGCCCCATGGGCGCAGGGCAGGAGCCGTGGTCCCCTTCCAGCCCAGTCCTACCTTCTCCTGGTACTGGCGGCGGGAGGAGTCCAGCGACTGGATGAGGGCAGTGGCGTGGCCGATGAACATGGCGTAGCAGGTGGCCCCCACGATCATGCTCAGCATGGTCAGCCAGATGTCTGTCATGCTCTCGGGCGCCTGCTTCCCATAGCCGATGCAGAGCATGTGGCTCATTGACTTGAAGAGGGCGAAGGAGTAGAGCTCGCTCCAGGAGTCGTTCTGCAGCAATAGAGTATTATTTTGGGTGGGTTTTTTTTTTTTAAGCCGATGTACAAAAGCACCGCGAGGCCCCCATGAATTGCTGTGACTGGGACAAGTTCTGAGATTGGGGAAGCTGCTTGGTTACTGCAGTGCCCGGGAGCCTGCAGA